GACGGTATCGTACTATATTGCTGGGCTGAGGTGCAGTAGTTATTCACAGGTATGACAGTGATTCACTACGGCTGGAACTTGGGCTCAAGCCAATCCACTTGCCTCGGCTACCTGAGTAGCTAAGGACTACAGGTGTGAACCTTGCTCAGCTAAGTTTGAAATAATATTGGGATAAAAAGTCATCCCTCCCATCAAAACAAGCATAGGACTCAGCTTAAAGGAGGTCTCACTGGCCCAATTTGGACCAATTTGAGCATCAAAATGCATGCTGACTGAAAATGAAAAAAATACATGAGTTCATATTAATATTATATACATATACATATTTTTTTGAGATGGAGTTTCACTCTCGTCACCCAGGCTGGAGGGCAATGGCGCGATCTCAGCTCACTGTAACCTCCGCCTCCCCCAGGTTCAAGTGATTCTCCTACCTCGGCCTCCCGAGTAGCTGGGATAACAGGCATGCGCCACCATGCCCAGCTAATTTTTGTACTTTTTTTTTTTTTTAGTAGAGACAGGATTTCACCATGTTGACCAAGATGGTTTCAATCTCTTGGCCTTGTGATCCGCCCAACTCAGCCTCCCAAAGTGCTGGGATTGTAGGCATGAGCCACTGCGCCCGGCCATATTTAATTTTTTTTTTTTTGAGACAGAGTCTTGCTCTGTCGCCCAGGCTGGAGTGCAGTGGCGTGATCTTGGCTCACTGCAAGCTCTGACTCCCAGGTTCACGCCATTCTCCTGCCTCAGCCTCCCAAATATTTGATCATTTTTTAAAGGAGGGGAAAGTTGACCGAAAGTGCCTATAAATGTAGAAGAAACAATAAACTTGGGAAGCCATGATTTTGCAGCTTCATGGTGTAACAATGAATCTACTCATTAACTGATGCTAAAACTGTTGGGCAAATGGTTATTGGAAAAACTTGATATTTGTGGTCTAAAAGAATGACCTCACACATGCCTTAATTACTCCACAAGGAGCAAGAGACCTTGACCATGGAGGAATTTCGCAGACCCGAAGTTGACCACTGGTTAAACTTCATGTCCTCACTCATGGCCACGCTGATGTCCTGCACCTCCTGCTGACTTGTCACCTCCCTTCACCATTGCCCCAAACGTTTAACCAAGGATCCGGACTGTGGGACAGTCTAAGGAAAATAGGAACAGACGTTTCAAAAACACCACTAAAGAATTAAAACCCACCAGGTGATGTGTGGTTCAGTAAGGCTCTGAGGTTGCACAGGGCATGGGACTGGCTGGCTGTATGGGAGGGCTGTGGCTAACCTGGGGCTTTCCCCAGGTTTCTCCAATGTACATAGGTGTCCGTGTTTGCCAGCATACAGGTGTGTGTGTGACATAGATATGTCATCGACAGGAAGGCACAACAGCACTCATGCAGAGGAGGTGGGTGTCCTTAGACTCAGCAACGACTGCCAGGTGCGGTGGCTCCCAGCACTGTGGGAGGATTGACTGATAACTGCACCAGTTCCCCCTTCCATAGGCTTCTGCGTATCTGAGCCCTGGCCAAGAGTCCGCAGAGACAGGCAGGCACATGGAGAGAGGAGCACCGGGCCCGGTTGAGCCGTGGAGGGGGCGGGGCGGGGGGAACACGTGCAAGTGCTGTCCATGACTGGCCCAGGTGCTGGGAGCTAAGCACATTCGACGGCTGCGAGTCAGGAGGGCAGCTCCTTCTGAAAGCCTGGAGCTGGTGGCACGTGGCCCTGGTGGCAGTGAGGCCAGGTACTTTCCCTGCTGCGGCGGCTAGGGATGGTGTTTTCCAAGACTTCCACCAAGCCCCTCCTCAGCATGCGTTGGTGCGGGAAGTCCTCGAATGCCTGTGGGTCCGCAGGAGCTCCGGTGAGACTCAAGTACGCTCACCCCACGGTTCTGAAACCGGTCTCCCGCCTTTCCTACCCTCAGGTTTAGGGACCGTCTCAGCAGCCGCAGGGCTGCCAGATATTGCACTCCCATTTTAGGATGAAGGAAATCAGGTCTAGACTGAGGGTCACGAGCCCCCAACACCCAGGGAGGATTCGTACAGGGGCGGGGGGCCTGCCCCAAAGCATAAAGGTCAGGAGGTGGACGCTGACCACAGGGACAGGTGCGCAGGGAAGAGGCTCAGCTGCTGGAGTGGAGGAAGCCGGGAGGGTCGCGGGAGAGCAGGGCACCTAGGTGGGGAAGGGTCCGGGAGGAAGCGAGGATGGGCGAGCGCGGACGGCTGGGACCCCGCGGCTCAGTGCCGCTCACTGGGGGTGACCGCGCGCCCAGCCCCGGCCCAGCCTGGCCCCGGCGAGCCCGTCCGAGCCGCGCTTCCCAGAGGCAGAGGTCGGCCGCGCTCTCCCGCTCGCCTGGTCTGGCGCGGGCTTCGGCGGCCCCAGGGCGGGGCCGGTGCGCCGTGGGCGGGGAAAAGGCGGGGCCTGGCGGGACCCGGAAGCGCGCTGCGGCCCCGCCCCTAGGCCGCGTGGCTGCGCGTCCCGGCTGTTGCCGATAAAGTTGTTTGACGCCGGGCCGGCGGCGGGTCACGTGAGCGGAAAATGGCGGCCCCGGCAGGCGGCGGAGGCTCCGCGGTGTCGGTGCTGGCCCCGAACGGCCGGCGCCACACGGTGAAGGTGACGCCGAGCACCGTGCTGCTTCAGGTGCGGCCGCCGGCCCGTGGCGGACGGGTGGGCGGGTTGGGGGCGCCGCGCCGAGGCCCCGCCCACTGCGGTCGGCGTCCGGGTGTTCGGGGGCGGGGCCTCGGCGGCCAATGAGCGGCCTCCTGCGCGGCGGCCCCGCCCCCTGCTCGCGGGCACCTGCGCTTCTGCGGGGGTCCCGGGGGTCCCAAGTGGGGGGCGGGTGGCGAGCCCTCCCAGGGGTGAGGTAGGAACGGCGCCGCGTCTCACCCCCCTCGAGTACTCAGCGCCCGGCTGAGTCCAGCTCGCGAGGGCGCCGGGAAGAGGGAAGAGTGGAGCCCTAGACCCGCGTTCCCATCCCGGGGTGCCCCCGGAGCGGGAGCCCGGGTTGCGCGGTGGCAAATGTCCCGGCCGTGGGGCCTGGAAGCGATTTTTGCCGAGTCACGCACTGCGCTTTTAGTCGGGCACCTTGTGACCTCGAATCAATTACATGTGAAAGTATTGGCCGGGCGCGGTGGCTCACGCCTGTAATCCCAGCACTGTGGGAGGCCTAGGCGGGTGGATCACGAGGTCAAGAGATCGAGACCATCCTGGCTAACACGGTGAAACCCCGTCTCTACTAAAAATACAAAAAAGCACATGCCTGTGGTCCCAGCTACTCAGGAGGCTGAGGCAGGAGAATGGTGTGAACCCAGGAGGCGGAGCTTGCAGTGAGCCGAGATCGCGCCACTGCACTCCAGCCTGGGAGACAGAGCGAGACTCCGTCTCAAAAAAAAAAAAAAAAAAAAAAGTATTTACTGAGCCTCTACTGCGTGGGGGACCATGAGGACCCGAAGGTGCACACGACTCGGAGTTTGCGGTAGCAGCCCACGGCATGGGGTCGCCGGGCCTGGGCAGGTGAAGGGTGCAGCCAGGAGGCTGTTGGTGCCAGGCATGCAGAGTGCGGAAATGGGGCACTCCTGCAGAGACTGCGCGGGACCCCTTGGTGCCAGGGCCACGGCTTTGGCTCATGGAGAAGAGGGGCGGAGGAGGTGCAGGCAGTGGGAGCAGGTGTACAGAACCGTGCCAGAGCCAAGGGGTAGCCTGTGCTGGGCAGGTTTAAGGCAGGTTGCAGAACTACAGGGTTTGAAGGAGAGCCCAGGGTGTGTGCCAGGAAGATGCCCGTGTTGCTGTACTGCAGGGGAACCCTGAGCAGAGTTTTCCTACAAAACTGAGGGGATGGTGAGGAAGGGAGAGAGAGTGGACAGGATTTGCAGGTGAGAGCCTGCAGCTGTTGCAGGGACCGTCCATAGTGTGGTCTTGTGCTTGGCTTTGCCTGAGCAGAGCCACCTGGCTCACCAGGAAGCTGAGTGCTCTTGGCTGGCCTGGCCCACCGCGCCCGCCAGCCCTGCGCACTCAGCGGTTCACGGTCCTTTCATCTCATCCCCAGGTTCTGGAGGACACGTGCCGGCGACAGGACTTCAACCCCTGTGAATATGATCTGAAGTGAGTTTGCTGCAGCTCAGCGGCAGGGTCTGAGTTTATCTGTGCCCCTGCCCCCTGAATATACTGGCTCTCACTTGGAAAAGCCCCCAGGTGGTTTTAAACAGTCATATATTGCCTCCCAGCTCTGGAGACCCAAGGTCTTGGCAGGGCCACACTCTCTCCGAATGCCCTAAGGGAGAATCCCTCTTGCCTCTTCCAGCTTCCCGTTCCTTGGCTTGTGGCCGGATTGCTCTCTGTCTCCAATTTCTTGTGGCCTTTTCCTGTTTTCTCTGCGTCTTGGAAAGACCCTTGTCATTGGAAGATCCTTGTCTTTGGATTTTGGGTCCTCTTGGATAATCTAGAATGATTTATCATTACATCTCCAAAGACCTGGATATCCAGTAAGATGTTCAGAGGTCCTGGGGGTTAGGACATTGACCTGTCTTTTTTTGGGGGAGCCACCATTCAACCTCCTGTAGGTTTTATGGCATTGGGTTGCATAAGTTCCCAGTGGGGCTCTGAGGGGAAAGAGCTGGCCATGGAGAAATAGGATGCCCTGAAAACTGCGGGTGGATCTCTGCAGTCTCAGCCCTGGGAATTACACGCACGGTTCTGTGTGGGGGTATTGTTCCCAAGACAGGGCTTCTGCCAGACTCTCAAGGAGTCTGGGCAGAAGGGTCAGAGCCCTCATATGAGTAAGACATGCATGTCTATCCCACACGCAAAGCTTTTTACTTTAAAAACCTGTTTTCTGTTTTTTTTTTTGAGACAGGGTTTCACTCTTGTCGCCCAGGCTGGAATGCAGTGGTGCGGTCTCAGCTCACTGCAACTTCCACCTCGTAGGTTCAAATGATTCTCCTGCCTCAGCCTCCCAAGTAGCTGGGATTAGAGGTGCTTGCCACCACACCCAGCTAATTTTTGTATTTTTAGTAGAGACGGGGTTTCACCACGTTGACCAGGATGGTCTAGAACTCCTGACCTTGTGATCCGCCCGCCTCAGCATCCCAAAGTGCTGGGATTACAGACATGAGCCACCGCGCCTGGCCTTAAAGACCTGTTTTTATAGTACTGTTGTCCTAACACTGGGGGCAGAGGGCAGGAGACTGTCCTCCCGGCCTTGCCCACCCTGCCTTACGGGGCTCTCCTGGGAGGAGTTTCTTAGGGGTGATATCTGCCAAGTCATTCCAGTCTTCTACTTTGTGTTTCGACCATGTGATACTCCCAGGACCTGTGCTCTGAGTGCCAGGTGGTCTTGGGCTTCCCACCATCCTTCTCCAGTCTCTCTTGTCAACTGAAGAATGAGGTTCATACGTTTGGAAAGGAGGGCTTTATTTCTCATAACCGGTTGCAGCTTGCAGGGTGGCCATTCTAACAGGCCAGGAAGTGTAGCCTCCAGCCAGAAGCTAGAAACTGACACTTCAAGAGAGGGAAGACTAAGACAGGGATTTACACCGAATGGGGTGGCTGATACAGACGTACTTAATACACTATAGGAGGATCGTGAGTATTCACGAAAGGAGAACTCTGCACACAATTGAGCCTCCTGCCTCTCCATGGGTCCTATGTTCAAAAATTGGCAGCGCCAGCATGACCTGAGGGTGGAATTTTTGGCCTCTGAAGTCAGAGGTGAAGCAGGCTGGGCGAAGTGGCTCATGCCTGTAATCCCAGCACTTCGGGAGCCTGAGGCAGAGGATTGCTTGAGCCTAGGAATCCCAGATCAGCCTGGGGAACATAGTGAGACCCTGTCTCTACAAAAAAAGTAAATAAATAAATAAATAAATAAATGGCAAACCAGCGGACATGAAGACCCTGACCGTGCCACAAAAACCCTGACCATGCCACGAGAACCCTGACTATGCCACGAGAACCCTGACTGTGCCAGAACGACTCCATGGTTGGTGGTTTCTTATCAGGAAGAAATACCTGTGGGTTGTTTTGAAGAAACCGCAAGAGAGAAGGGCCTGGCGGAAGGTTGGCTGATGTCAGATACCAGCCCAAGAGTCTTTGGAAAGGCTGCTTTCTGTTTATCCCTTAGGGAAGAGAGCCTGTAGGTGTGTCTGATCTCCCACCCAGCCATGGCCAGGAACTCAGCTTTCAAGGTTTCTGGGGTCCACTGGGCCGAGAAGAGGCCGGTTCAGTTGGTTGGGGGCTTAGGGTTTCATTTTTATTTCTTTTTTATTTTATTATTATTTTTTGAGATGGAGTCTCGCTCTGTCACATAGGCTGTAGTGCAGTGGTGTTATCTCGGCCCACTGCCACCTCCGTCTCCCAGGTTCAAGCGATTCTCCTGCCCCAGCCTCCCGATAGGTGGGATTACAGGCATGTGCCACCATGCCCAGCTAATTTTTGTGTTTTTAGTAGAAACGGGGTTTCACCATGTTGGTCAGGCTGGTCTTGAACTCCTGACCTCAGGTGGTCTGCCCACCTTGGTCTCCCAAAGTGTTGGGATTACAGACATGAGTCACTGTGCCCTGGCCATTATTTTGAAACAGAGTCTTGCTCTGTCACCTAGGCTGGAGTGCAGTGGCATGATCTCAGCTCACCGCAACCTCTGCCTCCCGGGTTCAAGTGATTCTTGTGCCTCAGCATCTTGAGTAGCTGGAATTACAGTCACGTGCCATGCCCGGCTAATTTTTGTATTTTTAGTGAAGACAGGGTTTCACTATGTTGGCCAGGCTGGTCTCAAATTCCTGACCTCAAGTGATCCGCCCGCCTTGGCCTCCTAAAGTGCTAGGTTGATAGGTGTGAGCCACTGCACCTGGCCTCATTTTTCTTTCTTTCTTTTTTTTTTTTTTTTTGAGATGGAGTCTCGCTCTGTCACCCAGGCTGGAGTGCAATGGCACAATCTCGGCCCACTACAACCTCTGCCTCCCGGCTTGAAGCACTTCTCCCACCTCAGCCTCCTGAGTAGCTGGGACTACAAGCGTGCACCGCCATGCCTGGCTAATTTTTGTATTTTTAGTAGAGATGGGATTTCACCACATTGGCCAGACTGCTCTCAAACTCCTGACCTCAAGTGATCCGCCCGTCTTGGCCTCCCAAATTGCTGGGATTACAGGCGTGAGCCACCATGCCTGGCCCATTGTTACTTCTGATTGCTCACCTGCCCGTGGTCTGTGTGGTGGTGTCTGGTGGGAACCAGTGAGTGCGATTTTGAGGCAGGTCCTGCAGCACCATGGCCATGTTTTCAGGTCTCCTTTTCCTCTGCTAATGGTACCGCTTGCTTACAAAGCACAGCCAGTGCAGAGGAATGCAGCCCCTGCATGAACAGTGCCCTCCTCTCCAAGGCTCCCAGCCTGCTGCCCGGGTTCACCGCCCATCTGCTATCATGTCTTGCCCTAGACATATTCATGTGGCAAATCCCAGAGATCACTTTCTGGCCAGTATTGAAGATTGGTGGCAAAGTTGTTCTCTCTTAATTCTTCCAGATGCCCCCAGGCTGTCTAAACTCTCTTCTTTCTAGTGTCTTCAACAGCAGCTTGCATTTCCAAAGGTGGGCAACCACTTTGAGTATATTCAGATTTCTTTTTTTGAGACGGAGTTTTTTTTTTTTTTTTTTTTTTTTGAGACGAGTCTTGCTCTGTCGCCCGGGCTGGAGTGCAGTGACCGGATCTCAGTCATGCAAGCTCCTCACTTCCGCGTTTACGCCATTCTCCTGCCGCTCAGCTCCCGAGTGCTGGCGACTACAGGCTGCCCGACCACCTCGGCCTGGCTAGCTTTTGTATTTTTTAGTTTAGAGGACGGGGTTTCACCGTGTTAGCCAGGATGGTCTCGATGCTCCTGACTCGTGATCGCGCCCGTCTCGCCTCCCAAAGTGCTGGGAATTACAGCGTTGAGCCACCGCGCCCGCTGAGACGGAGTTTTGCTTTGTTAGCCAGGCTGGAGTGCAGTGCATGATCTTGGCTTACTGCAGCCTCTGCCTCCTGGGTCAAGCGCTTCTCCTGCCTCAGCCTCTGAGTAGCTGGGATTACAGGCCTGAGCCACCGCTGCCTGGGTTTTTTTTGTTATGATTTTTAGTAAGACGGGATTTAACCCATGTTGCGCCAGGCTAGGTCTCAAATTCCGACCCCGTCGTGATCCACCCTCCTCAGCCTCCCAAAGTGCGGATTCTATACATGAGCCACCGCGCCTGGCCAGCCGGGGTTTTCTGTGGTGGCTCCAGCTGTGATGGCCGGGGGCTGGTGATACCCCTGCGTCTGCGAATGCAGCAGCGTTCACGCCCCAGTCGTTCTCTCTCTGTTTTCCAGGTCTGCACTGGAGCCGTCAGCACCCAGACTCTGAGGAGCAACCCCCTCGGTGCGCCCCAAGGCCCACTTCTCCTCTTTCCCTGTTCCCTTCTGCTTGCAGGAGCCCCATGTGATCAGGGACCCGCCTTGTGCTCTGCAGTCACGACATCCTGCTGTTGGGGAGCTGCCATAGGATGTGGATGGCGGGACGTGGATGGCGGGACGTGGATGGCGGGACGTGGATGGCAGGGCGCGTCAGGGTCTGCAGGGCAGCGAGTGGGTTCTGGTCTGTCTTGCAGGTTTCAGAGGAGTGTGCTCGACCTTTCTCTGCAGTGGAGATTCGCCAACCTACCCAACAATGCCAAGCTGGAGATGGTGCCTGCTTCCCGGAGCCGTGAGGGGCCTGAGAACATGGTGGGCTGTGCTCTGGGGCAGACTGACTGTGGAGCACAGAATCGTTCAGCTGGCCGAGGACGGGGGGCGGTCGGGGGTGCTGGGGAAGGAGGGACATGAGTCTTAGCACCAATTCTGCCTTCCCTGGGTTGGGTCCAAGCAACTTTCTGTGTTTTGTTAACTAGCGACTGAAAATGAGCATTTCATGTTTTTTTTTTTTTTTTTGAGACGGAGCCTCGCTCTTCCGCCCAGCGCTCGGAGCGCAGTGGTGCAACCTTGCTCACTGCAACTCCGCCTCCCAGGTTCATCTGCTGTTCTCCGCCCTCAGCCTCCTGATTAGCTGGGACTACAGGCACCTGCCACCATGCCCCGGCTAATTTTTTTGTATTTTTAGCAGAACACGGCGTTTCACCGTGTTACGCCAGGTGGTCTCGAACTGCTGAC